CTTCCCTTCAAGGCTCAGGGGTCCAGGATTATCTTCTGTGTCTGTGTTAATTGGTTTCCCTTTTCTTTGTTGAAGAGGGTCTGTGCAGTCTTTCTGCCCAGTCCGCCATCTTGCTGGCAATGTTGATTCTCTTAAGAACTTATTTCCAAGAAGGCAACAAACAGTGGTTTCTTTGGTGCTCTGGAATACCAGGCAGACTTGTAAGACTGGAGATGGTGCCTTTCATAGGCTTCCTTTCTTCGTAGAGCCTTCTATTACTCACTCTACTTATCCCTTAGGGAAGGCCTTAGGAAAGAGGAAAGCCTGTTTTCTCAATCAGTTCAGTAACATTTAGCATACATGTTGCAATGTTAAGCAGCTATGTACTAGATTCCAGGGTTGTAACGATTAATGAGAGACAGTACCTGAGCCCAGGAACTCACTTTCTATCTAGAGGGAAAAAACAAATAGTAATTTCAGTAATTTCAGTCACACTTGGTGACTGTTACTCTAGAGGTTTTTCAAGGGAGCGTGAAGGAAGAGTAAAATTCAACCCTGGGAGTGTGTGCTCAGGGAACACTTACCAGGGGAGATGATGTCAGTAACCAGGCAAGATAAGAAAGGAAGGAAGAATGCTTAAGGAAGAGTATCCTATTTGTAAAAAGTCATAAAGATGTGGAACAACTTTGTGTTGTGGGGAATCTTAAGGAGTTTGCTATTACTGGATAGCATAAAATGTGAAATGGAGTTCATTAAATGGACTAGAGAGGTAGGTAGGGGGCCGATCAAGGAAGGCCTAGAAGCCTTTCTGAAGAACTTGGTCTTTATCCTAGATGCAAAGGGGGCCATTGAAGGATTAAAAGCAGCTCTGCATTTTAGATAATGAATTATTGTGGCAATAATGTGGATGATTTGAAAGGTACAACTTTGGAAGGAGGGAGACCAGAATAGAGGTAAAGGTCTGAACTGCAATGCATAATCGGAGTTTAAGAGGAAGAAAAGTGTTGATGGGATAAGATGGCAGGACCTGGTAACTGGTTTGGGAAGAGAATGGAATTCACAGGATTTGGCAATATTTAAGATCGTTGATGAAAGAAAACCAACTCTATGGCACAGTGAAACAAAAACCAGGTTGTATGATGTATAGGTGAATGAGAAGTGAGGGAGTAGGCACAGTTAATATAGGCTCTTTCAAGAAGTTTAGATAAGGAGAGAGAGAAAATGCACAGTGATTAGAATGGAATTTGAAGTCCACACAATACGCCCTTGAAACTCAACCCTCTGTTGGCTTCTGTGACACCCTACTCTGCTGGTTCTTTTCTGTTATCATTTCCTTTTAGCCACTTTTGTGAGCTCCTCTTTTTCTGTGTACCCCTTAAGTGTTAGTGTCTCAGGACTCCATCTTTGACCTTTAGTTGGTCTCACTCCATGTGCTCTCTGTAACTGAATCTTATCTAGTAAAACCTTCAACAGCCACCTATACATGATTTCCAAATCTGTATTCCCAGCTCAGTCTGGTGTATATAGCTGAAAGTTGTATTTCTCTACCGACATGTGCTTGAGGCACCTCAAATGCAACATGTTCAACACTGAACACATCATCTTCCCCTACTCTAAACCTGCTCTTGTTCTTGTGTACATTATCCTGTTGGTGGCAACTTCATTCATCTAGTAACTCAAGTTGTTAACTTGAGGGTCACACTTAGCTTCTCCTTCTTTGTTCTTCTATAACTGACCAGTCTCTTAAGTCCTACTAGTTTTGTTTCCTATGTTGTCATCTTCCTTCTTCCTTCTTCCTTCTTCATCATCGCCTTCATCAGCGCAGTAGCTCTCTCCTGCCTCAGGTCTTCCCCAGAGTGATCAGTTTGAAATGCAGTTCATGCTTCTGCTTTAACCCAATCCTACAGGATGAAATCTAAGCTTTTACCATGCCTAACAAAAGCTCATTCTGACTTGGCCTCTGCCTGTCTTTCTGACTTTGTCTCCTGCTGCTCCCTTAGTTGTACTTCAGGCTCCAGTCATACCAGTTTGCCTTTAGTCCCCTGAACATGCCAGGCTATTTATTTCTGTGCTTTTGGTCTTGTTCATGCTGTGCTCTGCCCTTTTAGCCCCCCAAGCTCCAGTCGTCCCCATCTCCAGCCCTCTAGTTAATTTTTAGTCTCTTCAGACTTATCTTAGAAGCCTGCTTATCCCTCATGTCACCTTTTTACTGTCCCTCCAAGCTGGGTATGATCCTCATTCTGTGACCCCTATACCCTACACATATTTCTACCATAGTTTGTGCTTTTTGTTTTAATTACTTGTTTAAATGTCTCTTTTCCACTAGTCTATGAATATATCAGGACAATTGCTGTGTCACCATTTTCATAAAATTCCTACCACAGTGGCTAGACCTAGTAAGACTTCAATAAATATTTGTTTAATGAATGGCTGAAGTATGAGATACACAAATCAGCTAAAAGTGAGGTGGACCTTTAGAGAGTAGTTATATCAGTTATCAAAGACACTGTGGGAGAAGGGTCTGGACGAGGACTAATAAGTGGATGAATTTTGTCTAATTCTATTAGATATGTATTCAGTATTTTCATATAATTGCCTTACTTTCCTCCCTGTTCGTTATTTTGCAAACTCTTCTTTTTAAATAAATACCCAGTTCAGGATGCTGTCTGATCAGTGTGTCTCTTTTGATTGCAGATCCAATGGATTTGAGCAGAAGCGCTTTGCCAGACTTGCCAGCAAGAAGGCAGTGGAAGAACTTGCCTACAAGTGGAGTGTAGAGGATATGTAACTTTGCTGAGACCGTGGGGATAACTCTGGGTTGTGGTAGTGGGCTTAGGGCAACCAAACATCCACCTGTTACAGTTGTCTGTGCTAATAATCAGGACCCACGTAGACCAGCAGCTTGTTGAATGCCAGTTTTGACCTCACAAGAATATTTGGACCTGCTGTTTGGACTGAGGCACCTGTGTTTCTCCAGTTTGCCAACACTGGCTGTTGCTGGCTTTCAGAGGAAGCATTGATTTCTCAGTGTCCCAGGGTTGGTTCTTGGTAAGGGTTTTTTTTTTTTTTTTTTTTTTAATGAACTGTATATCACTTTTCTAATCAGAAAAAAAATTTTTTTTTAATTAATAAATACACGTTTATTTTTTTAAAGTTGTTCTTTTAATGGGCTATTTTGTTTCTGGGAAGACCCAAGCTATATTGAACCCCCTAAGTATCCTGGGGTTGGATTTTCCAATAATCTAGAAAGCACCGTGAACAAAAAACTTCACAGTGATAGAGCCTTCTAAGAAAGCAAGAATTAGTACTAAATTATGCCATAGGTATAGACTCATGGATGCTTGGAGACTTGCTGCATGGTAAAGGTGGTGTCACAAATTAGCAGGGGAACAGATGGCTAACGGTACTCAGAAAATTGACTTATTATATGGACATTAAAAACAATGTTGGTGCCTTACTTCATTCCATATAAAACAAAATAAATCCCAAAGGGATTAAAGACCTCAATAAAAGATAAAATAATAACACTAATAGGGAAAAATGGAGAATATTTTTGTGACCTTGGGGTGAGGATAGATTTTGTAAATAAGATTCCCAATGCTTAGTCCATAAAATTTAGTAGATTGACTATACCTACACCTCCTCATTTACTGAGTTTAGTTTATCCAACATTTCACATTTACAATAGTAAAAAAACCTAAACTATCCAACTGTTTTGCACATTAATGACATCTAGCAGTATCAGACACTGAGGTGCAAGGTGCGAGAGTAGCTGGCTGTGATGGTTAAGGTTATGTGTCAACTTGATCAGCATGGCTGGGCCATGATTTTCAGTTGTTTGGCAGTTATGTAATGATGTAATTTGGTAGTTAAGTAATGATACAATCTTCTTCCATTTTGTGATCTGATGTGGTCATCCTCCATTTTCACATAATGACCTGTGCATAATACCTGGTCTTTGGAACCTAACCAGGTCAATAAGTGAAGAGTGGGTGTACTTAAAAATGAAATATTTCTCTTGGACAAAACATCCTATAGATGAAGTTAAAGAGAGGTATGTATTAAGGGAAAACCTTTATAGTGTCTAAAACTGACAAGGGATTGAATATAAAAAGAACTGCAAATCAGGAACAAAAGAAAACAAAGTAAAATGGACAAAGAATATGAATAGGTGAAATCAAAATGGAAAAACAGAATGGCTTATATATGTACAAAGAAATTCTCAACTTCTTAGTAATTCTAAAACTCAAACTCACGGCCATCAAGCTGATGTTGACTCATAGTGACCCCTCCTTGGGTTCCAAGGTGATAACTCTATGGAGGTAGATTGCCCAGTCTTCCTTCTGAGGAGTGGCTGGTGGGTTTGAATCACCAGCCTTCTGGTTAGCAGTCAAATGCCTTAGGCACTTTGCCACCAGAGCTCCCTTAGTAATTAGAGAAATGTGAATTAAAACATTGATGAGTTTATACTTTTTATCTTACCAGTTTGGCCAAAAAAAAAGAGACTAAAACTCTCATACGTAATGAAAGCTTAGGGGAGTTTCAGTTGGTGCATCCATTCTGGAGAATAAGTGAGCAAAACTTACTGAAATTAAGTTGTATCTGAGATGCTATGTGGCATATTTTTAAGAGTGTGGCTCTGGAGCTATACTTCCTAAGTATGAATTCTAGCTTTGCCGTTTGTTAGCTGTGTGTCCTTTAGTAAGTCATTTAATTTCTCTGTGCCTTAATTTCTTCATTTATAAAATGGAGATAGTAGTACCAACTAATAGGTTTATTGTGAATTTAGAACAGTGCCTGCTGGTATATAGTATTGTTGTTGTGTGCCATCGAGTCGGACCTGACTCATAGCAACCCCACCTTGGGTTTCTGAGGCAGTATCACTACAGAAGTAGATTGCCCCATTGTACTTCCGAGGAATGGTTGGTGGGTTTGAACTGCCAGCCTTCTGGTTAGCAGTCAAGTGCCTTAGGCATTACGCTACCAGAGCTCCTGATATATAATATTATCATTGTCATTTTCATCAAGTGTGGTAGCCAGCTTCTAGGATGTCATCTAGCTTCCAAGATGGCCCCCAATGAACCCTGTGTCCTGATATTCAAGCCCTTATATAGTATCCTCCCATAATGAATAATGACTGACCCGTATAACCACAAGGATATATAGGCAGTCTCCAGGTTACAAATGTCCGACTTAACATACAGCCCATAGTTAGGAACCAACCCCTATAAAACCTGTTATGTTAAAAAATTCAAGGTACATACAGTGGTTCATAATAACAAATGGGTGCTACTTTGCAATGAGCATCAAAATGTTATTACTACTATATTATTGTAAAGATGTTTTAGTGTATCTGGAAGTATTTAATGTTTCTTATGCATAGAAAAGTACAAGAAACCTTATACCCATTATGAGCAGTCTTCCCCTCAACATCTCCTGCCCTAAGCAACTACTAATCTATTTTCTGTCTCTGACTTTACCTATTCTGGACATTTCATATATATGGGATCATACAATAGGTGGCTTTTTGTGTCTGACTCAGCATGTTTACAAGCTTCATCATGTGGGGTACTTTATTCCTCTTTATGGTTGAATAATTTTCCATTGTATGGACATACTGTATTTTAGTTACCCATTTGAGTTGTTATTTGAGTTGTTTCCATTTTTTTTTTTTTTTTGGCTGTTATGAATAATGCTGCTATGAACATTCATGTATAGGTTTTTTATGGATATATTTTTTCATTTCTCTTGCTCATGTACCTAGGAGTGGAAATAATCAAATGGTAACTCCATGTTTAACTTTTTGACAAACTGCCAAACTCTTTTCAAAACAGCATATGAGAGTTCCGATTGCTTCACATTGTTGCTGGTACTTGTTATTATCGATCTTGGATTATAGCCATTCTAGTGGATGTGAAGCATGGCTTTGATTTGCCTTTCTCTAATGGATGGCAGTGTTGAGCATTTTTGTATATTTGCTTTGGAGAACTGTGTGTTCAAATCCTTTGGGCTATCTTTTTCTCATTGAATTTTAAGAGTTCTAGATATACTCTGGATCAAATTCCTTATGAGATACATGATTTGCAAATATTTTCTCTCATTCTTTGGGTTGTTATTATTTGTCTTACAGCACTAAGTTTTGGGATAATTTATTACATGGGAAAGGATAATACATTAGGTATGTACATAACTTCCATGAAAGCAGGTACGTTCCTTGCTACCTCCTTCAGAGAAACTTGCACAAATCCACAAGGATTTGTGTGTAAAGATGTTTATCTATGTATAAACACAGTGGGCTCAAGCATGGCAACAATTGTGAGGACGGCACAGGACCAGGCAGTGTTTTTGTTCTGTTATATATAGGGTTGCTGTGAGTTGGGACCAACTCGACAGCACCTAACAACATCTGTGTATAGCTTGCGTAGCAAAAAGCTAGAAGTAACGTGTATGTCCATCACTAAGAGAATGGGTAAGTAAAATATGGTATATGCATGTGATGGGATATTATAAAAAGCAGTCAGAAAATAGCTGTTAGTGACATGATAGACCCCAGATGAGGAAAATAAATAACAATGAGATTTAAAGCAAAAGTTAGCTAAGTGAATTTAATAAACAAAGCAACTTTATTGTTTAAGGGTTTCTGAAGTGGTTGTTGTTGTTAAGTGCCGTCGAGTCGTTTCCGACTCATAGCGACCCCATGCACAGCAGAACGAAACACTGCCCGATCCCGCGCCAG